TTGCGCTGCGATGAGAAAAATGCTCTCGACAACGTGCTGTCCCGCAAAAAAGTTTCACATTCTTCGGTTTTACTCAGCCAACCTTTACATGTGCTTTGAATGATTCACCGGTGAGATAATCGTTTCCTACCATTTCGGCGGTTAGCGTTTCTGAGGACAAAATTTGCACATTCGCTTGATTGCTCGAGAAGAAACTCTTCACCGCATTCTAAAAGGAACTTTGATAAAGCGATCAGACATATGTACCAAGTCAGACTAAAATTCAACGCTTGAATTGAGGCTTCAACGCTTTGAATTGAGGCTTCAACGCTTGAATTGGAGGCTTCAACGCTTGAATTGAGGCTTCAACGCTTGAATTGAGGCTTCAACGCTGGTCTGAGGCTTCAACGCTTTGAATTGAGGCTTCAACGCTTGAATTGAGGCTCAACAGTTTGAATTGAGGCTTCAACGCTTGTAATTGAGGCTTCAACGCTTGAATTGAGGTTTCAACGCTTGAATTGAGGCTTCAACGCTTGAATTGAGGCTTCAACGCTTGAATTGAGGGGCTTCAACGCTTGGAATTCGAGGCTTCAACGGCTTGAATTGAGGCTTCAACGCTTGAATTGACGCTTCAACGCTTGACGCTTCAGAAAATCCTCCGGCCTTTTCTAAGTGATCGAAGATTTTCTAAGGCCTTATAAACACGATAAAACAAAGTTTTACAAGGCTTATCAATTTTGAGTCTAATCTTTGATTTTCACGTTTTACGGTCAGCGTTTTAGAGATTTTTCCTAATGTACCGTACGATTTGTCTACAGGCTAATGAAAAATTCTCGGAAACGTTCGGCTTTCATCTCTCCATTCACTCCGTCCATGACCAGTCGAGATGGCTGAGGTACACGACAAATAATCGACCCGGATCAAAGCACCTCATCGATACCTGGCCAAATTTACTCATTCCATTGTTATTTTGGTGCTCGATTTCCTCTAATCAAAAATTGCTTTGTGTCTTTCTCTCGAACTCGTGAATGCAACCTTCAAATGTTCTTAAATATTTCTTTCCACCTTCGATTCCCGTTTTTCCGACGGTGTCTCGCAGCAAAAAGGATGCAAAAAATTCTAAATTTTTTTTTGATTGGCTTTGAAAAGTTCCTTTAGCAAAAAGTTTTGTGAACCTTTTATCATTGTAATAACTTTTTTAGATAACATTTTTTAGATGCAACATGTACCTTACCTGTCCCAATTTTGCATTGCCGTCCTTCATTTGACTAAACGCAAACAATGTATTTAACTCCATCGATTCTGAAGTGCTGAGATATGTGAAGAGTATTGTAAATCTGGAATTTCTTTTCATAAACGAAATGATAAAAGCAGACAATTACTGATGAAATGAGCAGCGAGAGAGCAAAAATGATGGAAGAATCTTCGGATGAGCTTTCCAGATCGTGAATTCCTTGAGTTCTCGATATTAAAAGCACGGAAAGCTACAAATGGAATATGCAAATATTCGATTCGCATTTTCCCTATAACGGGCGGGGGAGGAATTTTTATCTTTACACCTTATTTAGACTCAGTAAAGTAAATTCTACGTTTTATTTCACTCAAACATGAGCTTATTGGTAAAAGGCAATTGATCCAGCGGGGAGTACCAGGTGGCCAAAAAGCCTTGATGTCTTCTAGAATTGCATCAAACGGATCCACACCGCGTACCAAGTTGAGACGCCACACTCCCTCCGTGTGTCCGTATCATTCGTATTCGTGTTCGCGGATAAGAGGATATGAGCCCGGCGCATCACGTGGTTTTCCAGTTCAACTGCCGTCGGCCTTAAGGCAAACTCGCAAGCCAGATGAAACACAGGCCAATGAAACACATTTTCCCTCTTTCCCTCGCTCCCCACCTTTCGTTGGCCCGTGTTTCCATCTGGCTGCGAGTTTTTTTGGCTGACGGCGAGTTGAACTGGGAAAGCTGGTCGTTTCTGGAAAGCAAGTTTTTGAAATATGTTGTTCACTTTTAATGACTTAATCTAAATAAGGTGCGGAGAAAGACCCCCCCCTTATAGGAAAAGCATCTTCGATTCTATTCACCATTTTACTCTCATTCTTGTTTTTCCTGAAAAACTCCCGGATGAACTCACATCACTCCCCGCGTGCGCTTTTCTTGAAAACATTTGAACGAAAAAGCAGAAGGTCCACTCTGAAATTTTCTACTTTATTTTTTTGTTTGTTTTGTTTTTTATATTACAATTTTATTTACTTTATTGGGTTGGTGAATTGAAAACTGCGGGGCTTTGAATTCTAAAATTTATTCAACATAAAATCATGGATTCATTCCAAATAATTTCATTATTATTGACTACTTCTACCCATTTTACAGGCAATTTGCGAATTCCTCTTTTGTAATAGGATTTTTGGTTTGTGTGTGAGACAAGTGTGAGACTCAAAAATCGAAGACTGGAGATGTCCCAGTTTGAGCACTTTCTTCAAAAGAAACCCATTTTGGTGTCAATGGAAAGTTGTAGAGAATCAAAATTGGGCTTATAGCCAAATTTCCAAAAAGATACACTTAGTAGTTTCTAACTAGAAACAAGTTTGGGAAAATTCGTAAATTTCGCATTTCTTGAAAACCAGTTTTTGAATCGTTCTGAAAATTTGGCTATAAGCCTAATTTTTGATTTTCCAACTTTTCCATTGACACTACAAATGGGTTTCTTGAAGAAAGTGCTCAAACTGTCACATATACCAAGACCCGCAGTTTTCAATTCGCCAACTCAATACTTATTTGTTTTGAAATTTAATATTTAAAAATCTCTTTTTTCCAAACATTTTTCTACTCAATCATTTTGTCTCTCTCTGAAATCGGCCCGTCCACAACGAAGTCCCTTCAGAAAACGTAGTTCAAAAAAGATTTCCCTGTCGAAATTTACCGGCAGTTGAAACGATTGCCACCTGAAAAAAAAATGAATGCTAGTAAAGCCTTTTCATTTCTACTTTACCATTGTTATTGTTGAAATTGAAAATGTGATTAAATTACCTCTCGCTTTTCCGATCTGTTCGCATAAATGATCGAGAAGATTTTCATGGAGAAAAACTTTCCCGTCGACCACGTCAATCAACGTTTTCATCGTAACAGTTAGATATTGCACAATAGTTTTCAAAAATTTGGAAACTAAAGCAAATTGAGAAATGTTACGACACTTTGAGCTCATTGAAACTGGAAGAAATTTGCAGAAATGAAGCGGATTAAATGCCGCCTGTGTCCGCTATCAAATATGGGGGAATAGTGTGGTGAACACCTTTTTGTTAGTTGATGTTTCAATGTCAATAAAAATCATTTTGAAATGTCCACCATTTTCCGCAATACATTGCCTCAATCGCCACAAATGATATAAAACTTTTGGACCAGACCACCAGTCTAGGTGTGCCCGTCTCACCTCGAACCTGGTTGTGACAGGTTGGCTAATCGTTCCAAACTGGCTCCTAGATCCAGCTAATCAGGTCCACGTCCTTGAAAAGCCAAGGCCCAAGCCTGATGTTTCGAAAGGCGTCAACGGCTTTCTCGATCACACTTATAAGAATTTCATCCGAACTCTTCTTCAGAAACCTTATAATCCTATCAATTGATGTGCCTTAGCGCAAGCTTTGACTCCAAAATATTGGGTTGGGGGAGAATGAGTCGGCGCCAAACTTTAAAGGGACTTTTGCACACATAAAGCCTTCTTTAAACATACGTTTGGTTTCATCAAAAGGATCCACTATTTCTCTACAAAATCACTTTGAGAGATTCCACAAAGCTTTTCTTTCGTGGAGTTTATGAACTTCCGAAACGCAGCTGGTTAAAATGGCAAAGAGTCCGACTCATCCATTTGAACAGTTTCTTTCACATAAACCTTCTTTGGTGTTTTATATAAAAAGATAGAGCACATTCAATTACTTAAGTTGCCAAATTTGCAGGAAGATCCCACCAATGGTTTTTCTAGATCACAGTTTGTAGTTTTTGTGAAAAAATGGCTTTTCTTGAGCGGAGGCGCTGTTTGAATTTTCTTTTAAATGTCATTTGTAGAGAATTAGTTAACCATTCTACTCATATCAAATGCATATTATTTGACGAAGTCGAATAGAAGTTTTAGACATTTTTTTGATTTTCGGCGCTGACTCATTCTCCCTAACCCAATAGAATGGTAGGGAAAAGTGCTATAAAGTATTGATGAATGAACGATGAATGAGTAATGAACGATGAATGAACGATGAATAGTGAATGAACTTCGTTTCCTTCGTTTCCTCTATCACAAGCTTTTAGAAAAGAGTAACACATCATCGGAAAGTTATTAAAAACAAGTTTTAGGCTTAATTAAAAGGATAGAATTATTTCTAAAGTTCGATAAATTCCAAGCATAGAAATAGTTAAAATTCCTTTGTAAAATTCCCAAAAATTAGGCAAAAGTTCGTAAAAAAGAAAGAAAAGCCAACCATTTGCAGTCCGACCGACCTAATCCTTGTTTTTAATAACTTTTTCGATAAACTTTGCAGATGGAAAGAATAAAATTCAAAAAGTTGTTTTTATTTAAAATTAAAATTAAAGCAAACTAAGCTTTTTAATGAATATTTGACCGTTTTGTGTGCTAATTTCTGAGAAATGCGTCTCGGCTTTGACTCGTTTGGTTTAACAGCTTTCACAGGTACTCTCGGACTTCTTCAAGCATACATATTTATTACCAACTACACACTTAGCTGGTGGCTGTTCTTTTTATTTCTCCTGCTTTTTCCCGCAAAAAGGTTTATTTTAAAACTTCAAGAAAAAGCCGAATGAGTCACCATCCTTTTCCCCTTTTTCCCAGCCATTTGACAGGATTCGACGGGAAAATACCCGACTTTTTTAGCTTTTTCTTCGATAAAAAGCTGGATTCTTCTAGCTGTATTCCCTAAAGGAACACTCGATTGATATCCATTATTCAACAGCTTTTGATTCTGGTTAAACATTTTCATCTATTTTCTGTGATGCCAGCAGGAGGAAGAGGAAGAAGATGGGCCAAAAAGCCAAGAAGAAAACGATTCGACAATCGCGATCCACCAGGGCCGGATTAACGTTTCCTGTCAGTCGTTGTGAGCGATATTTGCGAAAGGTTGGCGATAGAAACGGGATAATATTTACCGAATTTTGTTTTTAGAGACTTTTTATGTTCTTTCCGGTTGAAATCGTTTTTTTGGTTAGAATTGATCAATCAACTTAACTTTTCTCTATTGGCAATAGCTGTTAGGCTAATCTCATTTGAAATGGAACACACAAAACTGATGAGCTTTAGAGCTTTAGAGAAATCCGAAGCTCCGAATTGGTGCCGGTGCTGCGGTCTATTTGGCAGCCGTTCTGGAGTATATGACTGCTGAGGTGAGCATCTTATATTTGTTTTCTTTGCGTTTTCCGATACTTATCGAGTGTGCATTCACAGAAATACCTAGACCAAGTGAGAAATTCAAAGTCAGGCGCATTTTTGACGAGAACCTGAAACGTAAATATCGGCCAGAAGCTAAAGAACTGCTCGCAATCTTATAGAAAAGAATAAATACCAAATCTTGAACAAATCATCTCGAGTACTTTAATAGAAAGTATTTCCAGTTGTTGGAATTGTCGGGAAACGTATCGCGAGACGCAGAGAAACGTCGAATTCTGCCCCGGCACCTGCAGTTATCGATTCGAAATGATGAGGAATTGTCGAGGTTACTCGCGAAGACCACAATTCCCTCGGGGTGGAGTGCTGCCACTCGTCTATCCGTTTCTCTTCCAGCAGTGTTTTTGGGATGAGAAACACGCGGCGAGGAAGCGAATGCTCAAGAAAGGACACACCGAGGAGCAGCTCATCATCGGCCACGGCATTGATGGGGAGGTGTTCTGTAATGTTCGCGAGAAGCCGATTGTTTGAGTTGAGTGAAGGATAAAATGATGCTTTTTAAGAAACGCACCAAAAATTCAACGTTCTAGTTTTAGCCGTGCTTGATTTAGAGCTATTCTTTCAGCTTTTATAGTTCTTTATTTTAAACCTTTTATTTGCATCGAAGAAAATAGTAATGAAAGTATCAGGGTGTAAAAAGAAAATAATGCACGTTTTTGATCAAAACTATTTATTGAAAAAAACTCAAAGAAGCAAAGATCAATTGGTAAGGAATTCTCCGTTTATATCGATAACTCTTCCCATCTTCTGCGTTGCAGTAAAGACCACTAGCGAAGTGACAAGGGAAGTTATTATAAAACTAGTGAGTTTATTTTTGTTCAAAACATTACGTAAGCAAACATTGGGAAAATTCGAAGCGCATTCAAAGCACAATTCCAGCACCAGGAAAATTCGAAGCGCGCATTATTTTTTACACCGTGACATTATTCAATCTAATAAAATGCTGAATTTTCGCCAATTCTTTTCAACTCACGAGCTGACTTGACAAACAGGAAAATCCGTTCTTAATTAATTGTCAAAATTGCCTACAGCATTAGAAAGTTTCTATGCCCATCTAAAATCTTCCGAATCGCTTTAGTTTGTCCCAAAGAACGCTCTTGATGGAAAGTTCAAACGTTTATTAGTTTAACACTTTTAAGCTAGGAAACTTTTTAGGTTACGGTACCTATTCATCAAAGATTTTAACTTTTAACTTTTAACGCGCACCCAACCACCTAACATATTTTTCCTTTTCTTAACACCCTTATATGATCGAGGCACTAAGGCTTTGTACGGTTTTAAACTTAAAAACTATGTTCTCGTCTTGAAAGTTTTGAAATCTTAAATCTGTTCGGATTTGTACAGTGGCTAGACTAAGAACAAGATTCCAAGAAATTACTTGTGTTTATTTGAAAAATTCATGGAAGCAAAGCAAAGCAAAGTCATTCCACTCTCGGATTCCATCGAAGTATCAGGTTGGCAACTAAATAATGGCCCTTTTCAGTAAAAACAAAAAATTTATTAACAAGATGAACAAATATCAACATCAATCCAAAAGGTATCCTCCGTCATTCTTTATTACTTCTTTCCACTTTTGACGGAGCAACTGGATTCCTCTCTCGAAAAATTCTTCTGGTTGATCGTCAAAGAACTTCTGCACTGAAATTCGGACTTCGTCAAGGTCATTGAACTTTTCTCGGCTAGAAAGTGTTGCATCGATCGAAAAAGATGGTAATCACTAGGCCCCATATCCGGGCTGTATGGCGCATGAGGAAGAACATTCCAGCCCAACTCCTCGATTTTCTCCATTGTAAGTTTTGCAGTGTGTGGTTTTGCGTTATCATGGAGAAAATGAATTGAAGAGGGTTCGAGTCCTTGAGAGCGAATTGCTTGATCTACACGATGTAGTTGAGACGAATAGAGTTCTGAATTAACCGTTTGCCGGCTTTTTGAGAACCTCGAAATGCACCAACCCACGAGAACTCCACCACACACAGAGGAGAGTTTTCTTTGAGTGAATATCCGGCTTCGGAGTTGGTTTTGGGTCTTCGTTTGTGCTAAGCCACTGTCGTTTTCGCGTTCGATTATCATAAAAGTTCCATTTTTCATCAGAAGTGACAATGGAATTCAAGAAGCTTCCCTTTTTCGCAAGTTTTAGTAGTATTCCAGCTGTGATAACACGAGTAGCCTTATTTTCTTCGCTCAATTCATGCGGAATCCACTTTCCACTGCGGTTACTTTTCCCCAATGCATGAAGTCGCTTTTCGATTGCAGTATGCAAAAAGCCCAATCGATCCCCTAGCTCGCGTGATGTTTGACTTGGATCCTCCTTTAAAGCTGCTTCCAAAATATCGTTCTGCAGAAGTTCGGGTCGTCCTTGGCGAGGCTCATCTTCAAGACTTTCATCCCCTTCCTTGAACCGTCCCTACGATCTCTTACATTGTGTTTCGGAAAGAGCTTCATCACCAAAAACTCGCAATAAATCTCTGTGGGATTCGGCAGCTGTTTTGTCTTGTTTGTAGTCGTACCAGAGACAGACACGCATTCGATATTTGAGATCTTCCATTTCTAAACAAAATTATTTGAAAAGTATCAAATCAAGGAAAGTAAAAACGTATAATAATGCACCAGAAATTCAGTAATATTCAATTAACAACAAGCGAGGGTAGATTAAACGCAAAGATTAAAAGATTTTATCAAAAAAGGGCGAGGGCCATTATTTAGTTGCCAACCTAATAGTTGAGGAAAATGTCGAACGAAGAGTTCATCCTGAAATTAATGCATAAGTAATCATGTAGATATTCTTTAATAGATATTATTATTAAGAAATATTACGAACTTGGCTATTAAAATAATGCGATTCGGAGGCTAATCGACACCTTTCTTCATCGGATGGAGACGGCAAGATGACACCATCGTCCGGCTCTTCGCCGTTCATAAACGCGTGAAAGGCGATCTGAAATGTGCAAATATTAGTGTTTTCAAGTATTTCAGTCTATATAAACCTAATCGTTTGATTCAACTAGTACGTCTAGCTATATCTGAATGACCCGTAGCTATTTGTACGCCGGCCTAGCCTGTATTCAATCGCAAACTCAACTTTTTCTAATAACTAGCTGATCAGAATCTTGCTAGCAACAGGTAAAAACTCAAATAAAAACTCAAACGCACCAGGTAAAAACTTTACTCGTAGTTTTCTATAACTTTAACAATCTCTAAGACGAGTAAAATGTAAATACAATGCCATTATCGGAAAGGAATCAAAGGGGAGACATTTACTCCTTTCCTGAGCGATCAAAAAAGACCAAAATTTCAATTTTCTCAATAAATATAAAAAATTTAGTTTTGTCGTTTCCTGAAATTTGAATAACGTTGTCCCCCTTTGGGAACATTCCTGAAATTCCTGGATAATTTCGTGCTACCTAGCTATGAAATAATCACCATGAAAGATCGAGTCGTCCAAGACGCCGCCCATTGCGCGCCGCAAGCCTTCACGCAAAGCCTAGAAAGAGTTTCATGAAATAGAATTAAACAATATTTAAAAATTAGTAAAAAATCTTATAACTAATAGACTCAACAAACCTTACCAGGCTCAAAGCGTCCATTGGGCGTATCCATGTAGAGGAAATGCCGCAAAGTGGGTAACTCGTCGGGTAAACGATTCGGCCATAATAAATACCACCTAAAATATGATGGATATTAAGATTTGATAAAATAAACAATACAATAAATCACAGGTTTTTTTCTCACCTTCCTAAGGGAGTTCCGGGAGTTCCATTCAAGGCAAACACCCAACACAAGAAGTCGCCATCGATTGGAGACACGAGGATATTTTCGATTGGTTCCTTAGCTTTTAAATTAACTACATAGATGTCTCTTTAATACAAATATTCCACATTTATGCGAATCCAAAATTTCCCAAATTTTACATATTAGCTAGTTCCGTTACCTACACCCTCAGATTACCATTTGTTACGATCGTTAAAGCAATTCGTCTATGGAAAACTTTTCGATTATCATGCACAAGTCAAAAACGCACTTGATTTCTACTTTGCTCAGAAGGACACTCAGTTTGTTGAGAATAATATCAAGGAATTCGCAGTCAAAGATGGCAAGAAGTCATTGATAATAATTGTGAATACCTTTGGATTAATGTGCTTTTTTGTGTTCTATGAAATAGACAAGTTGTAATCGTTTAATCGACAAGTGTAATCAAATAATCGTTTTTAACTTGCGTTGCTAACCTAAAATCGTTTTTCAGAGAAATATACAAGTTATATGTTACTTTGAAATTTTTTTTTAATCACCAACCTCTTTGATGCTTTTCAGTTCACTTTCTAGCCGAGTTGTTGCCATTGTAGTTAAAAATTATGTAGATAGAGAGAGTTTATGATTAGGAAATCAGATGGATTAAGTAGGTTGTCCAATAGGTGAACCAAACAATTTGGAAGGAAAGAAAAAGATCGCCTTTTCGAAAATGGATTTATGTGAAAGGCAATGACTCAGCCTCTCTCTTATCAAGACTATTTCCTTGCATAACAGCTTTTTTGAAGTTTAAACTATGGAGCAAGAGTATAAACGAATTTTTTGGTGACTGTTCTAAAAAAATGGTACTTCTGCATCATCACCCCACAGAACCAAACAGTAAAGGTAAATTTGCTGCGATATGTTTGGTAAAAATATAGAGATTGCACTTCAGGATCACTTTTTAGATTGCATAACACAAGAAAATGAGTTACTTTATTGACTCTTGATGCGAATAAAGAGTGCACTATTTTATTAAGCCCATGAACTAGAAAAACTTATGGTATTCAATAGTACGCGACTTTAATAGCCTGTAAAACTATTAGAATGGATACAGTAGCCGAAATACTAGCTGTTTCTGTATTACTAACAAAGCCTAATACGCTTACTCGCGAGTCCAAGCTTTTTCGTGATGGTTGCCGGCTTTGGTGGGCATAGAATTAAAAAGGCTGGAATTATAAGATTTCATAAAAGCATTAGTGCTTTCGTTGTATAGAGGGCCGTTATATATAGCTTAGCCTCGAGCAGGACCCAAAATTCCATTCCGTTGTATAGAGTTTTCCGCCATAGAGAGTTCCGATATAGAGAGAGTCAACTGTAATATAACCACAATCACAATAATATTACGTGACTGTGTCAGGACTTTTCTCAGCCATCACTGGCCCCGGTGCCAAGGTCCACTTTTTATTTTGTTAATCACCAATGGAGGATTGTACAACGACACGGACATTGATTTCTTTTTAGAATTTCAAAAGATTTCAGCATATGGCCTGTTCTTGATGCGTAGAAAAACGTTAAAAAAACTTTATTGCCGGGTGTGATTTTACGCAAAACCAGCAATGTTTTG